CTTCTTTCATTTGAAATCAATGGAGAAATATGTCCCAAGAACCAGCCTGAGTTCTAAGTACCAGTTTTATTCCTGATAAAAGCTAGAGCTGAGGACATAGCCTAGATGTATGTTCACCAAAGCGTCCAAATGGCTTACATATTGGCAGACCTCCCTGTAGGTCTGTTGTAATATATGTATAACTAAGAACCACATGTCAGGGCTGGGATTGTGGTTCAGTGATAGAGCAGTCGCCAAGCATGTGTGTGAAGCACTGGGTTTCATTCTCAGTGGAAAGAAGGAAGGAAGGAAGGGGAAGGGAAGAAGAAAGGAAGGAAGGAAGGTCTATCGACAATATATATATACACACACACACACACAGACACACACACGTCAGAGAATATACAGAAAATGAAAAAGAGCTTTAGCAACAGGCCTAGAGAGAATATCCTGGTTTCCTGTTCCCAAACACAGCAGTCAGGTTAGAAAATGGAAACAAGGGTGCAAGATGGTAGTAGGAAAGGATTTCTTTTGGTTTTTGCCTTTCTGAGCAAAAAAGTGCAAATTTTCTCTGTTCTGTGGTGATATGGGTGGGGAATAAATAGCTAGTGGCTAGCCAGATAGAGCTGAGACCAGAACCCAGGCCATCAATAGACTGAAAGGCCCATGCTTTTTTAGTATGGAAGGTCATTTTTAGTTGACTATGCAAATTTAAACCAGGTCTGCACTACATTTTCTAAAGCAGGAGGTGTTTTCTTTCTGATTTATTTAAAGGGCTGTTATAAGGTGTAGAATAATAGGACACATAAGTCCAATTTATATAAAGGATTGCTTTGAGGTATCAAATTACAGGATATGAAAACTGGAAGAGAGCTTAGAATAGGGTTTTTTTTTCTTTTTTAGCCCTTTTGTTCCTTGAATGAGAAAACAGAAGCCCAGAGGGCTAAGTGAATTACTATGGACCACTCACTTGTCAAGCTAGTGACAGCCCGGAATAGACCAGGGTCTTCTAATTCCAAACTTAATGTCTGCCCTACACCCAATTGTTCTGTATTTAGTCATCAGGGAAAGTAGGCTTAAATTAAATGAAATTTGGAAAATCCATTAAGTTTAAGAACTGTTAGACAAATAGTTCTATATGAAATATGTGAGTGTGTAATATAGTGGTTTAAATGGGAGGAGGGTGGCTCAGAGTTTAGGCTACCTGGGATCAAATTCTGGCTGCACCAATTATAGTTGTCTGACCTGTACAAGTTCCTTCACCTTGCTGAGACTCAGTATCCTCATCTATTAAATGGATATCGTAATAGCACCCACCTGGAGGGTGGTAAGGAGACTCAGATGAGAAGGGTTTATATAAGTTACTGTGCTTGGCATAAGTGAGTTCCTAGCATGTAGGCACTTATAAATATAATCTGTCATCATTCATCACCATTTTCATTTACCTCTGAGAGACTTTTAAAACTTGATCTGCAAAGACAATAAATCCTTAACTTAGGATTCTACCCATGCTAAGATCCTCCTTTGTCCTAAACCTCCCTTATTTATGTCTCTCAGGATAGAAACTTTATAATCATCTTTTTTCCTCTCACCCCACATTATGGTACCTGCTCTGTCACTAAATCCTATCTTGTTGTTTCAAATGTTTCTCAATTAACCCCTTCTCTATTCTCATCCTAAGTCACACCCTGATTCCCACAGGCCTGGATTACTATTTAAATCTCCTCACTTCTTTTTCTGACTAGTTTCTCCTTCCTCAGTCTGTCTTCTATGTTAGAACCAGACTTATCTCCCTGAGACCCTGCTTTTATTCTATTTGCCCTGCCTTGGAACCTGTAATGAATCCATTGTCTGCTGCCTCAATGCCAAGCTCTTCTGCCTGTCTTCAGTCCTTCTAAAAAACCAGTGTCCAATAGGAATATAATGGCAGCCATCAACACAAAGTATTCTAGTTGTCACATTAAAAAGTAAAAAGAAAACATGAAACTTCTTTCTATTAATATATGTAACTTAAAATATCCAAAGTAGTATCATTTTAACAGGCAATATAAAAAGGAATAATGAGATATTTTACAGTTTGGGGATCTACATTCTCAAAATCCCCATGTTTAGGTCTAGCAATATAGCTTGTGGTAGAATGCTTGCCTGGCCTGCATGAGACCCTAGGTTAAATCACCAGTAACACAAACACACACACACACACACACATACACACACACGTATCCTATACCTACATCAAATCTTCATTTAGACTAGTCATATTTGAAGTGTTCCCTGGCTACTTGTGGCTGAGGGCTTCTGAATCAGATACTACAGTTCCAAAATGTGACTTGTCACCACTATCACTCCCACAAATAAGATATACCTAAGTCTCCTTTTCTTCCTCATTTTAAAAAATAGAGTTTGTAATGTGCTGTTGTATAGGTTGTTCTAAACCACTGTAAAGTATGAAGGTGCTTTGTAAGCTACAATTTTGCAAGAATGTACAAATTTCACCATCCTGAGAGGAAGATATCTTTGAAATAAAGTAATTTGAAAGAAAGACCATATTAAGATGGCAAATTAGGGTCTGGGGAATATAGCTCATTCAGCATTTGCTTAGCTTGCGAGAGGCCTTGGGTTCAAATTCCAAGCATAACACACAAAAAAACATGGCAAATTAGCTGTCCTAAATTCATTTCTGAAAAACTTCACTTCAAGCAATGAATAGAGACTATAACACGCACTTTCTCTTGCTATCTCTTTATAATAGACTATTATAAAGAGATTTGTCACATTATTAAAGTTCTCTAAATATTTTAATCTGTGGTTCTTTTATTGTTTTTCCTTTGGCATTTTGAAAAATGGATATAGGAGCATTTAGTTTTTCTCTTGAAATGGGAGGGGGACCGTTAGCAAGAAATTCATTGTCTTTGGTAATGCAGTGCACACACTTTTTAGTAATGAGGTAGGAGGATTACAATTTGCTCATATTGTCCAGTTTATTGCAAAGGATCAGAATTGACCTAAAAACAGAATGTCAGAGTTTCAGATGGCAGAAAATGTAAAAATGCTTTAAAATCATAGTACAGAAGAATATTTAAATAGTAATTATTCTGACAGATTGAATAAGAAGAATTAGGACATTTTTTAAAAATGTTGATGAGTTATAAAGTGACACCCAAATCTTATCCTAGGGTTTTGTCAAGCCAAATAGTCCATTTTTCTTTAGTCATACCCTGAACTGTCACATGGTCCTTTAGGAATTCGACACTTAATATAGATATTGCCATAAGGTTACAGTGTGGAAGGAAGATTGCTAAATGAAGTAACATCCCAAATAGTTAACTTTATAAGGCAGCTTCTTGGTAAAGAACCCTACCATTCCTAAGTTTGCCCAAGCCAGAAACACTAACCTAATGTATAACCCTTTCTCCCTCACCTATCCCTGTAATTAGCTGCCTAATCCGTACAACTCCACCTTTTGAAATCCTTCTTTAATCTGCAACTTCTTCTCTGTCCTCACTGCCCTAGACAGGCTTTCATTACTCTTTTCATACCCTATTGCAACAGTCTCTAAACCAGTTTCCCAGCCCTAAGCTTCAGCCTCCTCTCCACCCTGCAATTTAGCCTCCAACTCGCAACAGAATTATCTGGCTAGAATGCAGATCTGATCATGCTACTCCCCTAATTAAAAACACCAAGCTCTTCCCAGGGCTGACAGATACAATCTAAACTATTAAACATGGTATAAAAATCACTGTAAGTCAGAGCCCAAATTATTGGATCTGTTGTGCCTCCTGCCATGTACCCAGAACAATGATAATCAGGTTACTCCTGGTTCTCCAGTAAGTCCTATCCTTTTGTGAACTCTCTTCTCTTCCCTTGGGTAGCCCCCTCCACCCCTTGAGTCTCATGATCTTCAGGCTTATTCTCTCACTCTCATCATCTGTTCTTTCAGCCTTCATATTGCCTCCATACTTCCTAGTGCTATGAAAGACCATGAAATTGGAAAAGAGTACTGTAGTTATATGAATAATGGACAATTGAATATGAAATCCAAATAATTTAATTCATCTCAGTATTATTTGCTCTTGCTTTCTACCTCCAGCTATACTGGCCTGCTTGGCATAATTGTAGCATTCAGGATATCACCCTGCTGTCTTTAGGACTACCATGCTCAGGTCCACCATGTTGCCAAGATGTGCTATTGGCTGTCATCCTTGCTGCTCCACTCCTGGGACTTACTCGTAATTGCATCTGTTTCTGTTGGTCTATTTCTTTTGGCTTCTCTTCTTGACATTTTGTACTGATTTGTTTTTATATCCATCCCTGACCAGTCAGCACCATCCTTTCCTTCCTTTTTTTCTACAGACCAGTCAATGAAATCATGTTGACTGTTGACCTGAGGTCATTGGTTCTTTGCTACTGTTCATGGGGTGCCTAGAGAATGCTGTTCCTTTGCCAAAACTTTTTGTTTCTTTTCTTTTTCCCCTTATTCTAGAGTTGGTGCTTTCTGAATGCTTGAGAGACTAGAAGGGTTATCTCCCAAGAAGTGTGGCTCTATTATAATTCCCTTTACTCTGATTGAAAAGTCAAAGTAATTTTCTTGGGAGGAGGAATCCTGACTAGCAAAATTCATGAAGATCAGACACTTAGTAGCTAACCATTTGTCTCTATTGAGAATAATGTGTTTAAAAACTGCTCCTTGTTCTTCAGTGTCAAGATAAGGTAACAGAAGTGTCTTGGTCAGTTTGGTTGAGCCTAAATACAAAAATAGACTTCTTGAGTCAAAGCTCTCCTGCCCTAGTAACTGAATATATTTGCTTGAGATTTTTGCTGTTGATCATTAAAGTTAGCAGATCTTTCTCAAACTGCTTACTTTAGTTCAACTCAAGCAGGCAAAATATAAAATAGAATTAGGTTAAGGAGTGATTAATTTCCCAGACAGAGGCTCGATACTTGCTGTTTAGTTCTTGTTCATACTTTTTATATTGTTCATTGTATAATCGGGAATTTCTTTGTAAATGTTTGGTTTTCAGGCTGGTTGGAAGGAAAATCACGCAACATTCATGAGCGAACTAAAAAATCTTCAGGCTTCTGGACTGACTACTCTTGGTCAGGCTCTAAGATCCTCATTTGATTTGTTAAATCTCAATAGATTAATATCTGGAATAGACAATTATGGACAGGTAAAAAAAAATTTGAGTGAGTACAGCTAATTTATTTTGATGACTTGGGGTAAGAATTCAAACTTGGGCATGGTTACCAAGATTTCTGTTACTTTTCACATCCTCCAAAAAAGAGGTTCACATGCCTTTTAAGAATGTACTTTGCAAAAAGAAATCCTCTTGTTTGATTCTTGTATATTGTTTGATGACAAAATAGTTAAAATCACCTACCATCAGATCATCAGAGAATGGAATGAATAAATTGCTGAGAAATATTGGAACAAGACAGTTGGAGAGAAACTCTGTCCTTAATCCACCTTGCTCCTCCCAGTCTGATGAAAAAGCTCTAGAATAAGAAGGCTGAAAAGCATTTGTTGCTTCTATCATTGTCCTTTTCTACTCTAAAAAATGCCCATAGTCTCCAGAGTCACTCTTAAGGTTGCAGAGTGAATCTACCAAGATTTTGACTCAGGTGAATTGATTAATGAATATAGATGATACTACTATTATGATCCCTTTAATATCATTATTTTGTCATTACTTGAAAAGAAGAGAGAGGAAAAAAGTATTTTGAATATTAGGGATTAGGGAGTTTCTGAATTGTAAGAATTTCTCAGTTTATACAAGTATTACCTCTCCACAGGAGGTATTGTTATTTTGATTCTCACATATTTTGGTCTCTAATCTTTTCTTCTTATTTATCCAAGCAGATTTTATCATTTATTTGAGAGGTCATTGGCAGGGCAAATGTAAAACTTGAAATACAATTTTATTACTTTATATAGCTCTAATGCTTTTTAACTGTATTTTAGGGAAGAAATCCATTTTTTTTAGAACCATCTATTTTAATTACCATCACAGATGGAAACAAGTTAACAAGTACTGCTAGCGTTCAAGAAGAGGTGAGATTTAATTTTTTTTTTTTTTTTACATTTCACTTTCATGGCAGAGAACATGCAGCTATTTGTGTGGGAGGCATGTATTTCCAGTTAAGAATCAAGTTTGGACAAACCTCCCGTCTTGGTAATCCTTGAGAGATTGCTTAATTTTATTGAGTTCCATGAAAGAAAAGTGAACCTTTTAACTCTTTCCTCATTTTTATATGGGTTGTTATGATGAACCTTTTCAAATTTTGCCTTATAGCTTCATCTTCCTTTAAATTCTCCTCTGCCTGGAAGTGAACTAACCAAAGAACCTTTTCGTTGGGATCAAAGGTTATTTGCCCTGGTGTTACGTTTGCCTGGAGTGGCTTCTACTGAACCAGAGCAACTAGGGAGTGTACCCACAGATGAATCGGCCATCACACAGATGTGTGAAGTCACAGGAGGTATTGGCAATATTTCCTATTTCTGAAGGAAGAAATTAGGGCAGCAGAGTGTCTATATAGTGCCATATATAGACTTGGCTTGTTTTCCTTCAAAACCTTTTAACTCTACTGCTTAAGCTCATTGTATTATATTTGCAGTCAGTGTAGTTATGATCATTCCAAGCTTTATTTTAGGATTTCAAATGCTTGTATTATGAAATAGTATTTTTTAAAAAATATTTTTTTAGTTGTCGATGGACCTTTATTTTTTATTTGTTTATATGTGGTGCTGAGGATCAAACCCAGTGCCTCATACATGCTAGGCAAGTGCTTTACCACTGAGACACAACCCCAGCCCATGAAATAGTATTTTGTTCTATCAAACTTGTGCACTTTGTTTTTCTCTCTGATATAGGTCGCTCCTACTGTGTTAGGACACAAAGAATGTTGAATCAGTGTTTAGAATCTCTAGTTCAAAAAGTTCAGAGTGGTGTAGTTATTAATTTTGAAAAGACGGGACCAGATCCACTTCCTGTTGGAGAAGGTAAGGTAAATCAACTTATTTTTAACCCTTAAGTGTTTCATAGGAGAATGACTTGAGATTCAGAAGATATTCAGGAATTAGTAATAGAGATAGCTTTTATTATCCATATGCATTTGAATAGTTACAATATCCTTCAAATAATTGCGTATGTATGCATATCAGGTAGCCAAATTCTAATAACCTTAATTTTTCACATGAATGTTTCTAAGAAAATTCCTCCTTTTCCTGACCTCTTTTATATTCCCTGGTCCCACTGTGGAGATGACACTAATTCATTTACCTCTCTATTCCCAAAATATCCGGATATTCACTATGGTATGGTACTTCAGTAGCAGTCTGTTTTGGGGATTGTGAGCACTATATTTAAAGGTGCCTGTCTTTATGATATTTGTTAGTTAACCTCACTGAAACAAGAGATTGTGAATGTTTATCTAGGAACTTATAATATTCCATAAGGTCCTATGCTGGTATTTTCCTTATCACTTTTTAACTGCAGAACCTTTTCAAATGAGATTTTACAAAAAGTTTTGACATCTAGAAATAGATAAAAGTAAAGCTACTTTTGCATGGGGGAAGTTGGCCATAGTCATTCTTTAGATGCTTTGTGAATGGATGTTTGTAACTATTGAATATGTGTGGATTTCAAAGGGACCAGGGAACTAAACCATACTATAGTAATTGCAGGACTTCCTTAGACTTCTGATCTAGGTTATTATTTTTCCTCATGTGTCAGTTCAAACACATATATACATATGCATATATAGGTTCCATTGTTAACCATGGTGCTTATCTGATCTGATCCATACATTTTAATTGCCTTGGCCAAGGCTAAAGGGATAAAACAGGAAGTTACACATTTCTATCTGAAGTAGTCCATTCTGTGGTTCTTGACTTTTTTTCTCTTTAGTTCTTGGATCCTTTTGAGAAGATGTTGGAAAAATGTGGAGTCTTTTCCCTACAAAAAAATGACAGCTCATAAACAAGTTTTTCTACCAGGATTTCTCCCTCCCATCCCCCACTCACCTCCCTCTACTGATCCCTCTTCAATCCATTTACTTCTTTTTTTTTTTAATTAGTGTCCTAAGGATACACCTGATGCCAAGACTCACTGAACCACATCCATGCATGCACATATAAAAGGTTGATCAGATTCATTCCACTGTTCTTCCCTTTTCCTGTTCCTTCCTCCTCCTAAATCAGTTCCTTCCTCCTCCTCGATCCTCTTCATCTACTCTACAGATTGTTCCTCTATATTAATGAAATTCTCTCTCCCTTTTTTTCATTTCTCTCTCTCTCTCTTTCTTTTAAACTCCCTCCTCCTTATTTTGGATTAGCTTCTGCATATCTGAGAAAACATTCCACCTTTAACTTTTTGGGACTGGCTTGTTTCACTTAGCATGATACTCACCAGTTTCATCCATCTACCTGCAAATGCCATAATCTCATTCTTCAGGCTGAGTATTACTCCATTGTGTATATATATCAAACACAACTTTATGTGTAATTTTAGGAGTTTCTTGAACTCTGAAATTAAAAATAGCTTCCATAGAATACTGAGGCCTCTCAGCCTATTTTAAATCAATCATATTGGAAGGGCATGCTATATTGCTAGCAACTGACTGCCCAGGCCATAATTTTGTGTTTACTACTTTGATGTGAACTGAAAACTTTCATGTGGAAATCCTAGTGGGAATTGATGTCATATAAATGGCTCACATTTTCTTTCTAGCTCCAGTTCCCCTTTGACCAGAGTTCTTAACCTTTCACACTCTGATGAAAGCAAAGAACTCTTTTCTTAGGAAAATGCACATCCCCAGAATTGTGATCTCAATTTCACAGGGGTCCTCTGAAGCCATTATATGTTCTCCCTAGAACACAAGGGACCCCAGAAAATTTGATCTGAAGTAATTACTTGTTAAAGTAATACTGAAATAAGAAAATCAAATGGATGTAATTTAAGAAAAATGAGACTTAAATCATTAAAACATATTTTTAAAAAATATAATTTAGACTAATGAATCATGGGATAAAAGGTTATGTCACTCCACCTACTGGGTGGGGGCAAATGAAATAGGCTAGTTTAAATAATTAAAATTCATTCAGGACATGCACGTTACTCAGTGTCATACAATGCTCAGTTTCCATGGAATTTTAATGGTGAGTGGGAAAACAATAGTGAATTAACCCAAAATAACTTTGATGCATTTGCTTTTTGTTTATCACCCCTAATGACACACATAGATGGTATCTTCAGCATGCCTTCTACCTTCAAGTGAATTTGGATAGATTTTATTTTGCTATGTGGACATTAGCTCTAACTGTTCCGTAAAGAATAATTTTTTCATCTAATTAGCATAGAAAGAGTATATAAATGGAATTCATGATCTATTTTATCAAATTCCAAAAATATAAAAACTCTGCTGGGAAACAAATGATTTCATTTGCTTAATTTAGTAATTGACTTCTTGAAAAACAACTATAGTGTATTGGTATGTTTAATTTATGTGTCCAAGTCTCATAAAATTTAAAACTGATTTTATAATATTTTTCCACACATCTATATATTCTCATAATAGTTGAAGGATAGCCAGAGGTGTTGAACTAGAGGGGATGGATTAGAGGAAGAGTTGCTAGAGAGGACATTTGGAAATCTTAGTAATATTGTCTTTTCTTCCATTTTTCATGAATAGCTTTTTGTTTTGCTTTCTTCATTGCTTTTAGCTGGAAAATTTGTATAAGACGATCAGCAATTATGAAAATAAATTCATGCCTCCATCTATCTTTTGTTTAATTTTTAGATGGACTTATGGATTCATTTAGGCCAAGCAATTCATTTGCTGCTCAACCGTGGCATAGTTGTCATAAACTCATTTATGTGCGACCTAACTCTAAAACCGGTGTTCCTGTTGGACATTGGCCAATTCCAGAATCTTTTTGGCCAGATCAGAATTTACCTTCACTAGTAAGTATCATAAACAAAAAGGTAAACATCATTGTGGATTTTTCAATTTGCTGATTACAGTGAACTTTTAAAAAATATCTTTGAGACTTTTGAGCTGTACCACAGGCAAATGGATCTATTTTTTAATATCTTTATTTTTTATTTATTTTTATGTGGTACTGAGGATTGAACCCAGTGCCTCACATGTGCAAGGCAATCACTCTGCCACTGAACCACAACCCTAGCCCCCAAATGGGCCTTTTCTCCTTTGCCTTCTGTCTCTTCCTGAATGTGTAGCTTGTGCCTTAAAGCAAGAGAGAAGGGCTTCCTTTATTTTCTGGCGCTTTCCATTCTTTCATTTGCCTTTGCTGCTTAAACTGCCCTCTTTGGATGTTAAAGCATTATTGTTTTTAATATTGTCAAAATCTGTGACTTGGTTTTCATTTTAGAGGGGCTGACTTGATTTACTTGTAATTAAAATGTCTAATAGCCTCAGGAAATTTTGAACGTAGTTTACACCTTATATAGGTTCTAGAAGCATATTCAAAGTATCTTCAAAGTTCTACTAAAGGAGTCCTTAATCCCTACTGGAATGTGGTAGACCTACTTTCATCATTTTTATTTTTTCAGTGCCAGAATCTTTTTAAATCAATGATCTTCTGTTCTGTAGCAGTGCACTTTTAAGTGATGAATAATTAAGTAATATTTTTAAATGATATTTAAGACTTGTCTTTTTGATCACTTCAATTGGTATAATAGGGCTTGATACTATTGTTATTCCTAGTACCAAGTGGATGGTCTATAATGAGGAAGACTGTGAAGTATACTCTCTCCCCAGCCCCCAGTGTAAGAAAGCCTGAGTAATAACTCTTGTTTGGGCTGAGGAGTGGATGGGGGGGACACAAACATACTGTTACTCTAGTTTAACACCTTCCTTGTTCAGCTTATCTGTATTATAAATTCTAGAAATTCCTAGAAAACTTCATTTTCTCCTAGATTACTATTTTGAAGCCCCTGCATTTCTTTTCAGGAGTATCCATGGAAGGTTTGCTTGTAAAACTAAAGAGCTCTTTGGTCCTTGCTCTGAGTGAGAGTAAGTGTCTCCCTCCTCACCCTGGTGCTCCAAGGAGGCACATGTGTTAAATCTCAGCTACTTCAAACACCCAAGTGAATGTTTCAGTGGCAAATTTACTCATAGTTGCTAATGATAGGGCTTCACTCATATCTTTATTGCCCTTTTACAAATCTAGGAACTCAAATGTTTCATAAGATGAATTGAAACTGAACTCAGGAAAATCTAGAATAAAAGAACTTCCAAATAATCTGCAGTTAAATTGTGTTTCCATTCTTCTATCTTTAAAAGCTCATTGGAGCTGGGAGTGATGACTCACTTCCTTAATATAAGTGACTTGTGAGGGAGGATGAAGAAAGAAGATTCAATCCCCACTACCAAAAACATTAAATTTAATTTAAAACTCATTTGAGGGCTATTTTTCTCAACCCTCAAACATCTTGTAGGATTGTAAATGATAGGAGCAAATGAATGTATTTTTCCTTTTTATAAAGGGTATTAGTATTTTATTGTATTTCTGTTAACCTTCCAGATCTCTGTGCCCTTGCTGTCCCCTTTTCTCTCTCTGGTGCTTTCTAGTCATACAAGTTAAACCAAAATATCATGACTTCTCCATTAAACCTGCTGGGCTACCCCAGTCACACAGGCCTTTGCAACCCTACCAAAATCATACACAGCTCTAGCTATTTGAGGCAAGTATGTGGACATGAGCAATACTACAGAACTCCACCTGGACCCTCTAGTTGCAACTGGCTCCTTTTCGGTCGCTATCTTGCCCTTTCTCGTATCTTTGCTGTTTTGAATTTTGCTTATAATTGGCTGTAGCTTTGCCCTTAATTACCTCATTAGAAAGTTTCATAGATTTTTTTCTTCCCCAGTGGTATCTGGATTATCTAACCTCATGACACAAAGAAATGAAGAGCAAGCAATGCTTAGAGGTTGTAAATGTAATTAAGGGTTTATCCTATGGATCATAATGGCTTAAACATATTTAAAGCTGGGTTTTTACTTCACTAAAATTCTAGTATGAGTGTTGTAATATACCTTTCTTCTTCCCAGTGCTAAGTAGGTGGTAGAGATAAAGAATCTGAGTCCTCTCCCGCTGTAGAAGCCTCTGATGATTCCTATAGATCTTGTAGCTTTTTGCTCATGTCCACATGTAGTGTTTTCTCAAAACACTAGTTTATATTTCAGTGATGGGTAATAGAATATAAAAGGGCTTGAAGAATTGTCAGAAATGTAAGCTTGCTTGATATCTGATCATGTTTTCTTCTTTTTTTTAATGTTTTCTTATTATTTTTAAATTTTTTAAGCCTCCACGAACATCTCATCCTGTTGTGAGGTTCTCCTGTATAGACTGTGAGCCAATGGTAATAGACAAACTGCCCTTCGACAAATATGAACTTGAACCCTCTCCCTTGACTCAGTACATCTTGGAACGAAAATCTCCCCATACCTGCTGGCAGGTATTTATCCTTGTCAATTAGCCAAATGTCTTTAACCACTCTGAGATATGGGAATTGTCTTAAGAAGTTTCAAAGGTTAATCTGGAAATATTAGACTAAGTTTTTTTTTCTCTGAAATGCTAACAAATAGGCAATAGAACCAACCCAATAATTTTAGACTGATATGAATCATTAGCCTTCTGTACATTGCCATTTAAGGCCATATAATCTGATGAAATCTATGTATTTGAAAACTTCAGGCGGCCCTAAAGCTTATCCATGAACCCCAGGTTAAAAAACCCTAACTTAAAGATTGTAATTCTATTATGGTATGGCCTCTGCAGTTGAAATGAAGTTTTCAGCTCTTGGTTTGAACTTGAAAGATTAGAAGTGCAGGATATTTGGGGCAGAAAACCATAAGACTATATTAGTATAATATAATAAACTCTTCTTATAATACAAACCACACTGTATGTTTTGGGATTTTGTGTGGATGAGACAGATATCATACTCTGGCTCTTCTGAGTATTATGGTTCAGTTGGAAAGACTTGCTGATTGGTTAATAGTCACCTGTGGAGTTTGAGTTGTAAAAATCTGGACATAGTAGTCACATACTCTTTTTATTTGTATTCAACAAAAATTCTGCACTTTAAAGATGTTTGTTCTATTTCTAAATTACAGGGCCATATAGCAATCACTGATTTTTAAGTTCTGTTGGTGCAAGAGCACTTTCAGATTTCCATCTGTTTCATCCTAAAATATGACATTATTATTACTAGTTCTCTGTCTGTAAGCTTACTGAATTCACCAAGATGCTTAAAACAGCAAAAAGGGAACAGGGTTGAAGCAAAGATTTAAGAGTGCAAGAAACAGAACAATATCAGAAACATAATATTGAGCAAAAGAAGCCAGACAAAAATTATTACATATTATTATATAATTCCACTTAATGTTCAAAAAGAGTTAAAATTGCCTTACTCTGTTATAAGTCAGGATAGTGGTTCTTGTTGGGGGCAGCAGGGTAGTAACTGGAAAAGGACAGGAGGATGTTTCTAGTTGTGTTATGTTTCTTTACCTGGGTGCTGTTTGCATATATACATCCACTTTATAAACATCCATTTAATCATACACTTATAATTTATCCTCCAAAATGTTAGAAAGGTAGAGATATGGATAATAGATTGCTTAAAATAAATATGTGAAGCTTGAATTCATAGGTTGTAAAGCATTTTTGCAACAAATGCAAATAAAGTTACAAATGACACTTTTCCCTTAAAATAAAACATTTTTTCTATATAGTACATTCCTTGTACACCTTCTCCCATGAAACTTAAGATATCCAGTATTCATTACTGCACAGCACCTCAAATATACCTTAGTCCTTTATCCTGATGTTATGTTACTTTGTTTTAGAGTATTTTTAATGTGATGAATTATTAGGAGTGAAAAAGAATAAAATAAATCAGGAGCCAGGATGTTTGGCAAAACCATCGTGAGAGTGGATTCTAACCCTAGCTCTGCCACCAACTATGTGGCCTTGTACTGGGCACTTACTTTCTCTGAAATAGCCTCTAAAGACCCTGTTTTCTTCTAGCAATCTAAATTTGTGAGTGATAATAAATTTAGAAAAAGTTAAGGGTTTTATACAAAGGAAAGAAATGGATGGAGAAAGTAAGGGTAGAAGAGAAAGAACCCCAAAACAGTGCTTTTCCTTTCATGGTAATCACTGGTCTGGCCCCTGACTGCTATGTGTATATATTTTTTTTTTTTATCTTTCATGATGAATTTTCCCCTTCTTCTAATGTATACACACACAGGGAATAAAATCTAGCATGGTTAATTACAGTTGTACATTTATATTGAGGTTCAAAACATAACACAAAATCTTGAATTGTGATTTAGCACAGCTCATGCTTTGTGGAGCTTTAAGTCACATGGAAAAAGATATATTCTTTGTAATTACTAAATAAAACAAGAATTTAGTGAACTGGTAGGTGATATTGCTGGTACCAAGAGCTAGCAAGATAAATGGATGTTACTAACATCAGGTTTTGACTTTGTCTTAAGTGATCCTGCCAAAGGACTTTGGAAAAAAAACTTGGTGTCACTACAAGTATATACTGGTGTCCTGATTTGGACCAAAGAATATGAACATGGAATACAGAAAGCATAGTAGCTAGAGGACTCTGGCACAGCACAATGAAGTGTACAGGGGATGATAATATATATCACAAAGATATCAATAAGGAATAAGAAGATAGTCATGTAGGATAAGATTAATGTTTTAATCTTTATTGAATGTTTGCTCTAGCAGTGTACCTTATAGGAAAAAATGCCTTCCAGATTGAATCAAAGCATCTCCTTGCTGCCTCATAATTATCTGCAACAGTGCCTGCCTTATAGTAGGTTACTAAAAAAATGCTTATCAAATGAAAAGTGAATACATGGGTAGCGGAATGGTACAGTGAAGGGAAATAGAGCAAGTTAATAGCAGTACATATGAGGACTGTTCACACATCTTTTAAATGGGCTTTGTTTTTGTAGTTGCTGCTTTAGGCATGGAACCATGTTCCATTTTCCTAGAAGTCTACCCTAATCACTACTTGTTCTTTTGAGTAGTTAATTTGTTTTAATGGCTATTATCATTTAATAGTATTTCAGCCTTATTTTCCGTTGTACTAATCAAGTAAATATTTGTATATTGTTGATGTGGCCTGTGGTCTCTGAATGGTTATTGCATAGTTTTGTTTCATTTTTTTCTTTTTATTTTTTTAAATTCTTTTTTAGTTGTAGATGGACATGATATTTTTATTTTTATTTATTTTTTATGTGGTCCTGAGGATTGAACCTAGGGCCTCACAGATGCAAAGCGAGCACTCTACTGCCGAGCTACAACCCCTGCCCATTGTTTCATTTCTTAATGTAATATATGGAAAAATTATAATCTCAACATTCATATTTAGTGTCATATATTATGACTTAACCATAGGCTAAAAGCACTATACTATTTTTAAACTTGAATTAAACTGTACCACAGATGTTGCCATGAAATGTTGCTATGAGTTTGGCTTTACATAAAATCATTATTGTACTAACTGTACATTAATTCATGTTCTTTTAGGTATTTGTTACTAGTAGTGGAAAATACAATGAACTTGGATATCCATTTGGTTATTTAAAAGCCAGTACAACTTTAACTTGTGTGAACCTCTTTGTGATGCCTTACAACTACCCAGTTTTACTTCCTCTTTTAGGTAAGTAAAATATGTCATTTAATCATCTTTAAAATACAGCAAAAAGTAGATATGAATTAAGTATTTCAAATTAACCAGATAATACTTGATACCAGAATAAATAAAAGTATAAAAATTGATTATATACCATTCTTTTATTGATTGTACATCAAATAGAAGAGATACCTGACCTCTGCTGTGTGATTATTATGCTGTTCTTAAGGTAGCAAGCCCCAATGAAATCCCCCTCTTCATTTTTAAAATGTACCTGGCCTTTTTTGTAAACAGGTTTGGGCCAAAAAATAAGGGTTTTATTGTGGTTGACCTTCTAAGAATTGGTAGTTTTCTTCAGAAAATAGGGTTTTCAATTCCTGAGTAAGAAAATGGTGCTGGATGCATCATAATACCTGATCTCAAATTACACTGCAGAGCTATAGTAACAAAAACAGCATGGTCTGGCATCAAAACCGATATAAAGGCCAATGGAATAGAATAGAAGACACAGGACAAATCGACTAGATAGTCATTTGATACTCAAAAAGAAAGGTACCAACAGCATATGTTGGAAAAAACATAGCTTTTTTAACAATAGTGCTGGATATTTTTAACAATAGTGCTGGAAAACTGGATATTCACATGTATAAGAATGAAACTAGATCCCTATCTCTCACTCTTCACAAAAGCCAACTCAAAGTGGATTGAAGACAAAGGAATTAGAATAGAAACACTACAATTGCTAGAAGAAAACATAGGGTCAACCCTCTGTCAAATTGGCCCAGGCACTGACTTCCTTAGTAAGACTCCTAAAGCTCAAGAAAAAAACCAAAACAAAACCAGATTCACTATGTAGGATAGCATCAAATTAAAAAGCTTCCACACAGTAAAGGAAAAGATTAAGAGGGTCAAGAGAGAGCCTACAGATTGGGAGAAAGTGTTTGCCAGATACTATTCCTCCAGGGGATCAATATCTAGAATATATATAAAGAATATGAACTATATATACTATAATATAAAGAATATATAAAGAATTAAGAAAACCTTAACAATGGAAATCAAATAACCCAATAAATAAATGGGCAAATGACCTAAACAGACATTTTGGAGAAGAACTACAAATGGCCAACAAATATATGAAAAAATGTTCAACATCTTTAGCAATCAAGGAAATACAAATGGAAACTACCCTGAAATTTCTTCTCACTATAGTCAGAATGGCAATCATCATGAACACAAAATAGTAATTGCTGGCAAGGATGTGGGGTAGGGTTGCAAATTAGTACAACCACTCTGGAAATCGGTAAGGAGGTTACTCAAAAGACTAGGACTGAGCCACCATATGACATAGTTATCCCACTCCTCAGTATATATACCACAAGATCTAAAATCAGCATACTGCAGGGATACATCCACAACAATATTTATAGCAGCACAATTCTCAATAGCCAAAAATGGAAAAGTGCCTCTCAACAGATAAATGCATTGAGAAAAAGTGGCATATATATGTGGTATATATACACAATGGAGTTTTACTGAGCCATAAAGAACTAACTTATGTTAATTGCTGACAAGTGGATGAAACTGGAAAACATCATGCTGGTTGAAATAAAGCCAGACTCAGAAAGTTAAGGGTCAAATGTTTTTCTCATGTGGAAGCTAGGTGTGGGAGGGGTAGAGGTGAGAGGAAGAAAGAAAGAAAAGGAGTAAAAAGAATGATCTACTGAAAATAGAGGAGAGACCAGGAGAGTTGAAGAAGGGAATCAATAGGGAGGGAGAAAGGGAGGGAATGGGAAGTACTGGAGAATGAAATTGAACAAATTACACTTTGTCCATGTACAAATATATCACAATGAATGAAGTTTTATATATAATTACAATGTGCCAATTAAAATAATAATAATAATAGAAATAGAAGGGGAATTCATACAGTAGAGCTAGTGGATGAGGGGGAGGGTGGAGGGAACAGAAAAGAAAGGTACACAGGAATGAAATTTATCAAATTATGTTATGTGCATGTACAAATAATGGCATAATGATTCATATTATTGTGTATAATTCAAGTCCATCAGTAAAATATGTATTTGATAGTAAATTAATAAATGAAAAAAAATGGGCTTCCTTTAGGGTATTGGCTTACACTCCTTTCTCCTCAGAATATTAAGTGCTCTTGAGGTCTCTGTTTTAGGCAAGGCAGGAAGTTATATAACAAGAATGAATTCTGCAGTCACTGTGGTTATAGAGCTATGGTTTCCATGGAAAAGTTCTGAAATTTTTCAAGCACTTGTTACTCAGAGACTAATGAAAATGTGTGGAGATTTTTTTTCTCATTTGAAGAGCTATATCTATTTAGAGTTATAGACACTTCATGGTGTCTGTTTAGTCATAAAGTTGTAAGAAATTTTGTTTGGTGGGATTTTTCATTTTTGTGAAAAGGATCAATCGTTATAAAGTTTTTATACAGAGGGTCAAATCTTTACTAAGTTTGATCATTACAAGTATAAGACTTTACATACTATAAATAGTACACATTGAGTACTGAAAAAGTAGTACTTTAAAATGTTAAGAAGTTTAAGAATGGGTCATCATAAATATAGTAGCATGATTGTTTTGCACAGTCTAGCGACATTATTTCTTAGTCCAATCTGAAAAAAAAAAAAACTTCTTTCCAAGAGTTGTTGTCAGTAATTCAAAATGTAGGTTATGTCTTGGAGATGCATAAAACTGCCAATAAGATAATCTATCTTTTATATTCATTTTTCCTTTTTCTTAAGTTTCCATTATTAAAGAGATTAGACCAGTTAATCTTCACTTACACTGTTAACTGTTAATTGTATTTTTTTCTATTTTTAAGCGTACTTTTTTTGATCCATGCTATTGATTGTTGATTGACATACAAAAGCTGTGCATATTTAAAGTATACAACTTGATGAGTTTGGAGATAGGTGTACAACCATGAAACCATACCACAGTTTATGATGTAAACCTATCCATCACTTCCAAAAGTTTCCTCTAAAAACTCTATATCAAAGGACACAATCAATACTTTGAAAAGGTAGCCTATGGAATGGGGAAATATTTGCAAATCATATATCTCATAAGGGTTTAATATCCAAACTATATAAAGAACTCCTACAGCTCAACAATAAGAACAACAAATATCCCAATGAAAAATAGGCATTTCTACAAAGATGTATACAAATGGCCAACAAGCATATGAAAAAGCACTCAACATCACTAATCACTGGAGAAATACAAATAAAAGCTACCATAAGCTATTACCTCATTAAAGTTACTATGATTAAAAAAAAGTGCTGGTGAGGATGTGGAGAAATTAGAATCCTTGTGCACTGTCCCTAGGAATGTAAAATGACAGAACTATTATGGACAACAGTAGGTAGATTCCTCAGACTATTAAAAATAGAATTATCATATGATGTAGCATTCCTATTTCTGGGTATATATCCAAAAAATATTTAATCCAGGATTTTGAAGATACAGTTATTCATCTGCATTCATTGCATCATTATTCATAATAGCCAGGAAGTGGAAGCAACCCAAGTGTCTGTTGATGGATGAATGGATAAAGGAAATATGGTAGGCTGGGGATGTAGTGTAGCTTAGAGGTAGAGCACAAACAGAGGCTGTGCCTTTGATCCCCAGCACAGAAAGAAAGAAAATTTGATGTATACATACAATGGCCTATTATTCAAATTTGAAAAAGGAAAAATAAATCACATGCTACAACATAGATGAACCTGGATGAACTTATGCAAAATGACATTCACAAAAAGACATACTGTGTGATTCCACTTATATGAGGTATCACATTCTTAAAAACAGGCTGGGGAGGGAGGAATGAGGAGTTGTTAAGTGGGTGTAGGGTTTCAGTTTTGTAAGATATAAAAACTCTACAGATCTGTTGCACAACAGTGTGAAAATAGTTAACCCTACTGAATTGTATACTTAAAATGGTTAAGATAGTAAATATTTCATGGTTTTAAAACAATTTTAAAAATAACTTAAATTATATAAAGACCCTCATATATTCTTTACCCAGATTTTCCAATTAGATTACTTGCAAAACTATAGTACATTATCACAACCATGATACTGCATTGATAAAGTCAAGATGCAGAACATTTTCATCACCACAAGGCGCCCTCATGTGGCCCTTTTGTAGTTCTACCCTTCCTCTTGTCCCCACCCCTCCTTAACTACTGGCAACCACTAATATATTCTACATTGCTATAATTTTATCATATCAAGAATGGTATATAAATAGAATCAGTTAGTATGTGATCTTATAGGACTGGATTTTTTTCACTCAACATTATTTTCTAGAGATTAATCCAGGTTATTACATGAACCAGTAGTTTGTTTCTTTTTAATGCTGAATAATAAATCATGTCATGGGTATATCACATTTTGTATAGTAGCCATTGAAGGGCATCTTAGCTGTCTACTCTTTTGAATGAAGTGTTGTGGTGAATGAAGCTACTATAAACATTTATGTACAGTTTTTCTGTGAACTTCAGCATCTTTATTTCTACAGCATAAATATGCAGGACTACAATCTAATGGTAGTTGTATGTTTAGTTATTTAAGAAACTGCCTAAGTGTTTTCAAAGCACCTCTACCAGATTATATTTCCATGATCAGTGTATGAATGATCCAATTTCTCTGCATCCTCACCAAACTTTGTTGGTGGTAATTTATTTACTTATTTCTTGTTGTTTTAAGCCATTCCAATAGGTGTATGTTGATACAAATTGTGATTTTAATTTGCATTTTTCTAATGGCTAATTATATTGATCATCTCTATAATATGTTTATATACCATCTATATATCCTATTTGGTGAACTGACTTTTGCTTATATTTACTTGGGTAGTTTGCTTTCATTAGTGCAGAGTTTGTAGAGATCTCCATATGATGGAGATATCAGTCTGTGGTCAGATATGTGGCTTGCAAAGATTGACGTGGATCTTCTTTGGGCAGTGTTTGGCATTCAGGTACCGTGCATAT